TGCATGATGGGGCAAAGAGGAAGCTTTAGTAACGGTATAGTCTCCTTGCTTAGACATGCATATGTGTATAAACACGCGCGTGCGCGCGCACACACACACACACACACACACACACATGTGCCCCTCAGTTCCTTTTCTGCCTTTCCTCGTCCTTTTCTGTCCACTGTAAAATGAGTTAAAGTGCTATAATTTGGCACCAGAGGACGATTGTGTGTGAACTAGAAAAGGACTGTGTAGTCCCATAGGTGCGGTGACAAACAGAACCATGGAGATATGCCTTGCACCTTAAGGAGAAGGCATGTGCATGCCCAGGCATGTGAGGAACATGACTCCCTTGGAAAGTTCTAATCAAGGGACAATGGAGCAAGACCATGATTATTTTTTAGCTTGGAATTGCTGCCACCCTTTTCTGAGACCTCTTTTCCAATACAAAGAAGCCAGAAGGACCCCTCTTGGAATCCCTTTGTCTTTGACAGGTTTTCATACAGGATATGGACAATATAGAGAAGTTGAAGTCATTCTTCACAAAGTGCTGCACTCACCTTGGCTAGCAGCTGCAGCTCCTGGTGGGGTCTGGAGAGTCCCAGCTTAGTTCTTGCTGTCTGAAACCAGAGAATTGGAGCAGGGCCTGCTGATAGCTTCTTTAACCTTCCTCTTCCTTCCTATGTATAAAACTCTTCCTCTTCCTCAAAGCGTGTGTAAAGTCTAAGCCCATTATGTAGTCCTTAACTTTGTGTTAACATTTTAACACATATTTGTGGGATATGCAGAACAGTATTCTTGTCTTTGTTTTTCCTGACTGGACCTGTAACCTGTTGAATGTCCTGGTCAAGGGGGAGGCAGTGAACTTCTGTCTCTCACACCTCCTGCCCACACCTGGCTTTACGACTGGTTGAGCTTTTCAACACCCCTCTTGGCAGTTTGTTGCTGTGAATTCTGTTCGTGTGCCAAGGGGGAAATAGTAGAGAACAAGATGGAGGTCTGGACTTCGTCACTGCTGATAATGTGGATCTGGCGACAGGGCAGGGGAAGTCTGGAGACCCCTGAAGTTGAGTCAGCTAAAGTGCTGACTGCTGTTGTTTGAATATGGCCTATCTTCATGTTAGTCAGCTTTCCATCAACTTACAAATAGAAAGGGTGTATTTTGGTCCACAGTTTTGCCCAATCTAGCCATGATTGGTTATCTTCATTCCCTTGGGCTTGTTGTGAAGTAGCACATTGTGGTGGGGACACACAGCAGAGCAAAACTGCTCACCTCATGGCCAGGAACCAAATGAGAATGAAAAGGGTGCTGAGGACTCATCCTTCAAGGGCGTGTCCGAACAACCTAACAACCTACTAACAGTGCTGTCCTAGGGGCCAAGTCTTTAACAGACAGGACTTGAGTGAGGCACTCAAGACCCAAACTATTGCATCCAATCTGGTTTGTCCTTTAAAACTCATGCTGAGATTTAATCACCATGATAAGACATAAAGATGGGGGAAAAAAAATCTGTCTATGGTGTTTAGAAGTGGGGCCTTTGGAAAGTGATTGTGATTAGATGATATCATTAGTGTGGAGTCCTCATGATTGAATACTAGCGGTTTTATTAGAAGAGATCAGAACAAATACTCATTCCATGTCTCTTGCCATATGATGTCCTGGATCACCATAAAACCCTGTTAATAAAAAGGCTACCACCAGATGTGCCCCCTGATCATGTTACGTCTAGAATTGTGAGCCAAAATAAACCTCCTTTTGGTATTCTTCACTTTGTCTATGACTTTGTGTTATTAGGAGGGAAAAAGGAGAAAAATATAGTAATGTTGACTGGAAGTGCCAGGATGTAGACAGAGACAGCTTAGAAACTGCCTTATCAACCGTGAAGACCTTGCTGCTTTCAAAAGATACTAAACTATTGCACCTGCATCAACAACCATCACTGCACAGGTGGCCAGCTGAGCCACTTCAGAACCCTTTTTATAGGGAAGATCTTGTTCTTTGCTGGGTACCCAACTCTAGCTACAGGTTGTCCCTCATGGATAGGCCTATGTGATGGCTGGCAGAGTACATGTGTCAGAAACTTCTGGCATGGAATGAGGATTTTATTTGGAAGTAATCCAGAGCAGGGATTCTGAAGACCACTGGCCAGCATTTCATTTCTGTTCCACCACCTGTGACCTTGGGCTCATTTTCCTTATCCATTCTAATAATATATACCTCACAGGAATGTGAAACCATATCAAGTGCAAGTATTTGGCTCATAGTAAGTGCTATGTGAGAAAAAGCCCTCAACATTACTACTCCAAGGAAAGACAAGATGCTCATGGGTGCAGCCTTGGGTAGGAGCAGGAAATGATTCCAAAGGTAGCATCCTTAGTCCAGGATGCTGGAGACTCAAATCTGATTCCTCTGAACAGCAGGGAAATGAAGCGGTTCACACTGAAATTCCAAAAGTCCATGGCCCTGTGTGGTGTCCTCTCAGGATAGGAGGGCAGGCAGTCTCCTCCTAGAGAATGCGGTCTGGCAGGCAGCAGGAGTCAGCAGGAAAGAGATAGCGCCTGGCAGGGAACATGTGCTGGGGAGCTGACTGGGCTTGCTGTCAGCTACATGCCAGATACCCTTGAGACTACTCAAAATAGCAGAGGGGGCCTGTGCAAAGGGATGGAAAGTCCCATGTTAGCAGGAGGTGGCAGAACTCTGGTTAGGATCTAGGTTATGCTTGCAATAAATACCAGTCTCTGGGTAGAAAGGGCTCTGGTAACAGAGGGAGCCAGTTTGAGTCCCACTCACTAAGGTGAACATACTGGGAGATCTAGTTCATCTTATTCATGATGGAGTATATGGAAAGATTTAGTGTATAGATGAACAGATTCATATCCCAGAACCTCAGTTTCCTATCTGTGAGTTGGGAGTGTGGTGACCTCCAAAGCTGACACTGACAATGCCCATGGGCTTCTGAGTTCCCCAGTGAATTAGGAATCACTTCTTTTTTTTCTGGTAAGTATTCAATTTCCTGGTTAAAAGAGAAACTCACCACATGTGTTGATCCAAGCTGATAGTGCTTCCATGCAGTGAATGTAGCTGGCTCTGCCTGGCCAAAGACTAGATCTTTTAAGGGAAGTGATCTCCTTTCTTACAGCTTTCCCTCAACATGGTCAGTGCTTTGTAACATTTATTTTTGATTCAATGCTTTCTGACAAATATCAAAACACTAGCTATTGAATTTTAGGAGAGTACAAGGTTACAGATAGAATAGTAAATAGTTGGAACACAATTTCATGTGGAAAATTATAGCAGCAAGGGTGTTGATTTGGACCTAAGAATTTACAACATAGAAACACTACATATTCTTTGTGTGTGTGGGGGGTGTGTGTGTGTATAGGAATACATCTTCACATCTGTGCACTTATATATGTAGGTACACATGCACATGTATGCAGATGTATGTGGAGGCTGGAGGTCGACATCAGGTGTGTTCCTCTACCATTCTTTACCTTATTTCTTGAGACAGGATCTCTCAGTGAACCCGGAGCTCAGTGTTTGCGTTAGACTAGCTGGCCAGTGGGTCCCAGGATCCATCTGTCTCTGACCACCAGTTCTGAGGTTATAGACACACACAGCCATAGCGGCCTCTTATGTGACTGCTGGGGACCCAACCTCAAGTCCTTATGCTTGTGCAGCAAGTAGTTTACTGACTGATCCCATTCCCTGGCCCCCCACTACACATGCTTATTAAGCCTTTTCTTTCTGTTAGTTTAAATTTTTTGTTCACCACTTCCATTCAGAAGGTGTCAATCCATGGTCAATCGGTCCATTGCTCTTATGTCCATGGGGAGGCAGAGCACTGTGGTGGGCACGTTAAGCAGAGTAAACTGTTTACCTCATGGCAGCTGGAAAGGAGAGAGAGAGAGAGAGAGAGAGAGAGAGAGAGAGAGAGAGAGAGAGAGAAAACTAGGGCCCCAAAATTTCTTTTAAGTTTATGCTCCCAGTCACCTAACTTCCTTCTATTGGGCTCTGCCTCACAAAGGTCCCACCCAAACCACCAGTAGTGCCACAGACTGGTGACTAGGCCCTTTAACACATGGACCCTTGAGGTATACTTAGTCAAACTACATCACTGGAAAAAATCAATAGAAGGGGCTTGTTCTATGGTTGGTCCCCATTCCTTATCTTGTCCTAGTCAGTGTTTGATGATGTTATGTTACTGGTAGCCAGGCAACAAAACTTACAAACCTGACTTTATGTATGCATTGATCAACTAATCAATAACTTCTAGCTAGTCACGGCAGTGCATGCCTATAATACCAGCACTTATGAGGTAGTGGTAGGAAGATCAGGAGTTCAAGGTCAGCCTGATCTGCATAGTGAGTTTGAAGCCAGTCTGTATGACATGAGACTGTTTCAGGAGGGGTTAGGGGGAGGGGAGAAAGAAAGAAAGAAAGAAAGAGAAAAAGAAAAAAGGAAAAATAAATTTTTAGTTTATAGGCCATCCACTCCTCCCTCATGGAACAAAATACATTGGTTATGCTACAGCTATTTTCTTCAGAATCTGGATAATATTTGGTTAGCATCTAGGGGTGGAAATTTTATTTTGGATGGCAGAAATTGCCTGCTAATTAGCTGTCAGATAAGGATGAATATGCTGAATTTAATTTTTTGAAGGGGAGTGAAGCAAACAGCGCACGGACTGCGCTGATGCCAGTGCACTTTAATGTGACTTGATGATGCTCACGACTCGCTCATCGAATCAAAATGTTTACTTTTACCTCTGCCGGATAAAGCACAGAATATCTGGGAAGAAAATTACTGCTCAGAAAGCTTCTTCAACACTGACGCTTTTCAAGCCTGTGTCAAGAGCAGAGCGACCTGCCTGCTCTACAGGAAATATTATTTATTGATGGGGGATACATTTTCTTTAAGTACAAATCAGAGCTGCTTAACATGAGCAGTATAAAACATATGAACTGAGTGGCATGGATAACAAAACATCTCAAAAAATGAATCACCACAGCTAGGCACAAGCTTTTAACAACTTTAATTGGTAGAATTATAATTGGTATGCAGTGTCTCACAACAAACGTAGATATGATGACATCAAATGTCAAAGAAGTTGCACACCTTTCCATTTTTCAATAATGTGAGCTAACTTACTCCAAGAAAGAAATCTGGCAATGAGCCAATATCAACTAACACTTTCAAGATCAAAGTGGAAATGGTACATTCATTTGCCCCTGAAAAAAGATTAAAGGCAAAGAAGGTGAATCAACGTGCAAATTAGCATCTGGACCAGTCGCAGAATTCATTTCCAAGATGCACAGGATTGAACCGTGCATCCTCGCAAGCAAGATGAAGAGCAAACAGATGACATTAAAACACAATCTGCTCCATAGAGAATCTGGAAGACCTCAGGGTGTGAAGGCCAAAGGCCAGAGGTCTCCTGCTGATAGTGCTCACCCTAACCTCCTGGATCCTGATCCAAGTCTGTGAGACCTGTGTTCTGGGCTGTCTTTTTGGTTGAAGGTAGAAATCATCTTCGTGATCCCAGGAACAACTGACCCAGCATCAGTCAGGTGCACAGGAGAAAAGTTCGGAGCTCTGAAGCCATTTGATGTGGCCATGACATAACTGTAGTTTTATAGAATAGGTGAAAACAACACACCAGTATAACAGCAAATAAGAAACCGAGTCACACATACAGCTATATAATACTTGAAATGTCTATAAATATTTTTTTTCTCCAGAAACTGAAAACACTGTAGATACAATTTCATTAATCCTCACAACACATTTGTGAGGTATGATGAGGTGAGGCTGATATGAAAGCGTCACTCCCATTTTATAAATGAAGACACGGCTGTGTAGGGGGCAGGGATTCCACCAGGGCCACAGGAAAAGAAAGGGAAGTTGAATATCAGCCTTTGATCATTTGCAGTCTATTGAGAAGAGGCTCCTTGCCTCCCTGCCCCCCCAGCCCACCCCACTCTGGCATTCTTTCCAAAGCATTATGGCCAGTCCTATCCACGAGGGGGTGTGGTTGTTGAGATCTACCAGAGTCATTCATTTCCTTGGGTAGACTTGAACAGACTCTCCCTGAGGTAAAGGACATAAGTTACTGGCATATATTCAGGTGTGTGCTTTATGTGTGTGTGTGTGTGTGTGTGTGTGTGTGTGTGTGTGTGTAGATTATAAGCAATATTTATAGAATAAAGTTGCTGAAATCTTTTGTCCAATTCAAAAGCAGAAAAAACATATTTGGCAAAACAAGGTCTCACTCTTTTGCATTTTTGCATTTTATACTAACAAACGTTAAGAAGGAGTGCTCTTCAGCTTTAAGAGGAAGGTGTCACCTGGCTGGATAAAACTGCTTATGCTCAAATTCTTTGCGATAAGCATTTAGAAGTTAATCAGAACAGCAACCAATCACACGCAATGAATGGCAGCTTCTAGTGTTGAAAAAAAGTTTGCTGTGTTACTGGTTTCTAATGCTTGTTATGTTCCTGGGAAAAGGCTGGTCCCTCTGGCCTAGCATTTATCCCAGATCAACACCCAGACGTGTGTTCCTCCATAGATGTTTCACAGAGAGCTTTGTGTCATGTGCTAAAACATTTTTGGCTGATAGAGAAAAAAGGCGTGGAATACCCTGTGTGTTTTGGCTTGTTATTTGCAAAACTGAAATCCCAGGAGGGGTCACGGCAGGATAGAGGGACAGTTGTCTAGGCCAAGCGTGGCCAGAGGGTGTGCTCTTGCCCTTGCTACTTTTCTGAGGAGGTCCATTTTTGCATGCGTTTGATGTTTCATATTCTGGGATGTCTTAATTCCTGCAAACCTATTCCTTGCTACCCATTCTGCTTGTAGAAGACTTTTGACAATTTATCTTTCCCTTTGGCACCTGCAGGGTTTAGGGATAGTTTTCCCCAGAGAGTGGGATGCCAGGTTGTGGGAAGCAGACCTGCTCATGGTCTCTGGCAGGAGAGAGGTTCAGGACAGCATGGTAAGAGTGGTTTTTTCAAGAGAGTCATAGGGGCAAGATCCATTTGAGGAATCAAAATTGATGTGTTTTTAAGGTCTCTGAGATATCATAGGACAATAAAGTATGTGTTTTCTGTTACATGAAATCAGAACACAAGAGACTGTGTGTTAGAACAGAAATGTAACCCTGAAAGAGAACATTCTAGAAAACAAAAAACAAAAGGTAACTATCCATAACACAAATCACCTGCTCAGTCAACAAAGTAAATACTTTGAAGACAAAACTTTGACACGTTTCATTTTGTTAAGAACAACAACAAAAAAGGTATCAGTAATATAGAATTCTTTCCTGTCACAGGGGCATTGCAATGAATCAGGCCTTCTTTGCCTCAGCCCTCAGTGTTTGGGGCTACAAGGTTCTTTGTCATGGGGGGTTGTCCTGTGCAACAGAGGATGTTAAGCAGCAACGTTGCGAGAAAAATGTTGCCAGAAATTTTCAAGTGTCCTGGGTGGGGAGGCAAAAATCATCTTCTGATTGAGAACGAGTGGAATAAATGGATGCCTTCAAAGATGAACGACTATTTCTCAAAATCTGTCATGCAGGATTTTGAGAGTAGAGACCCTCAGGTGTTCATTTATTAAAGGGAAGAATGGATAAGGTAAGTGTGTGGGAGAATACACAGATTATTCCCTGTGTCTCTTTCCTATGTAAGTGCCCCATTAAGCAATGGCAGATAGACTAGTGTCTCTTTTTCATTTTTGAAAACAGCTTACAGTCATAAGTTACCCAACAGACAATAAGGCAGTGAAACAGATGCTTTGTGGGTATAAAGGGAGTTCTAGAGGCTCCTCCAGGCTGTGGAGCTCTCTTACAACCATGGTGAGCTGGTTTCCACTTGCAAACAAGTCAGTGACGCATGCACGCTTCTTTCCCTCTCTCCCTCCCTCTTCTACCCCTTACCCTCCACATGCCTCTCCTGTTCTCTCCCTTAAGCTGGCCTCCCAGCTTTCTGGGAACTGGGTTGGGATCCCAGTTACCCGGATGGGGTTGAACAAGTTGAGGGTGTGTGGAGATCAGAGAGCAATCTATTACTTTGCCCATGCCTGCTGGCTTCCTCCAGAGTACAGCCTTTTTCATCTTCCTTAAACAGGCAGCTAAGAATTGGCTATCTGCTTGTAGAACTAAGCAGGTGTCCCGTCAGACACATCAGGCAAATGAGACAAAAAAGGAATCAAGAAATCCCTGCTTCTTCCATGCAGGGTGAAATCCTCCAGGGGTTTATTTCCTTTCTCCTCACTGATACTTAATATAATTTCTTATAGAGAAAGTTAAGAAATAACCAAAACCAAAAAGTTCCCCCCAAACTAACCCCCCAACAAAGCAACCCAGGCCCTCTTCCTCAGTTTTTCTAAAGCAAGTCTTGTGGCGGGGACCACAGCCTCCATCTCATGGTGTTTGTCCTGGTCAGTGCAAGGATAAACCGTGCATCAGCTGCAAATTGGCCTGCACTCACCTTTACATAATGGTTCTTTCATGTCACAAAGGGGACATCGTAGCAGCCAGAGGAGAGGGAGGAAAACAAAAACAACCATTCCAACAAAACAGGGCTTGAGATTGTCGTTCAATGCGCATCAGGTACTTGTTATTAATTCTACTGGGTAAGCACTTATAAATAAAGGACAGTTGTTCTTTGTCCTCAGCCACCTTCTTCTGTTAGGAGTCGTCATACAGAGGATTGTTGTAGTTTCCCCAGGACCCGTAGTCGTGGTCATCCAGAAGCCTTCCGTAGGAGGAATGCCTGTGCAGGAAGATGAGGGCTGAGGTTACTTGGAGACAGTGCCATCGGAAGATGAGTTAATACCCTGTATCCTGAACTCGGGAGGCTTACAGGCCTGTGGGAGGGAAAGACATGATCCTCCCAGTAAGACAACTCAGGACTGTGTCTGCCTTAGTCACCAACACCTAAGAGCTCGGCTGGCACTTTCTGGCAACATTGGATGAGTCTTTCTCTCTTCCACCTGCAGGGCAGAAGAGGGGAGAGGCCCCATTTCCAAGGCTGCCTGGTAAGAACTGATGGGAAGGGAAGCTTAGGGCCTAGTACTTGGTACATCCCTGAAGCAATATCCATACAACCACTGCCACTGTTGCTATTACCACCCCATCTTGGGTGGTCATCTAGAAAGCACTTCTATAATTCAGGTTTTACTTGACCCTCAAAATAAAGGTAGGGAGAAGGAATTGTTTCTCCTTGTTTCTCTGATGAGGAAAATGGCACTAGAGTTTAACTGATGTGCCCACCCAAAGCCATCCAGCTGAGCTGTGAGTCAAATTCTTGTCTCCTGGATCTAGAGGCAGTGCTCTAATTCAGTGGCTACATAGTCTATCCAGTCTGTGCTGGAGCATTCTGGGAGACTATGACATGCTGATGATTTCCTTAAGAAACAGAAGTCAGATTGTCATCTCTCCTTTTAGAAGAACTCTGAATGGCTCCTCATATTAGAATAAGTACAAGCCAAAATCATTCCTATGGTTCATAAAGCCCTAAAGGGTCTAGCTCTTCTACCTTTCAGACAAAATTCATTACTATTAAAGATCCTGTCCTCGTAGACCTGCCAGCCCCTCTCAGGGGTAGGTCAATGGCACCCTCTGCCAGGACTCCCCCAGCCTCATTCACCCTCCCATCTCACCGGCCCATCTCTCCTCCCAGCCTGGGTGCTGTTCCATTCCTTGTGTGTTCCCCACACACCGGGGAACCACCACTGCTTCCTGTTGCTTTGCATCCAGACGAACCCAGTTCCTTCTCGAGGTCCCCAGGAACCCTCTTGGCCTGGTACCGCCCTCACCTCCCTCTGCTTCCCTGGGCTGCACCGCCCACCAGCCTGTTTCCTAGATGCCTGGGCTGAGCGATCGTCCTGGGGCCACAACTACTTCCTGATCCCTTGCATCCAGAAGGACCCAGTTCTTTCTTAGGTCTGGACCTGGTCCAGCCCTCTGGGCCTGGTCATGCCCTCACATCCCTCTGCTTCCCTGGGCTGCACAACCCCCAGCCTCTTTCCTGGACAGCGGGGCTGACCTTTTGGCTTCCTGATCCTTTGAATCCAGACCAATCCAGTTCCACCCTGCAGTCCCCAGGAGCCCCTGGGGCCTCTTCCCACCCCCATCTTCCTTTGCATCTCTGAGTGTCAGGGCCACCAGATTCCCTAGAACAGCATCTTTCCTGGGCCCTGCTCTCAGGCCAGTCCAACCCCCAAATTACTGAGGACAACATCTTTCCTGGAGGGATCCAGACCTTAGGAGAAAGCCTGAAAGCATCT